TATCTTTATAGCTATATTTTGAGCTGAAAAAATGACAGGATTGTTTTTCCGAAAGCCATTATGTGTGAATAGAGATGAAATGCCAAACTACCAATGGGACGACTAGAGAGAGAAAGAGAGAGAGAGAGAGACAAATGCCACCCCCAGGCGACAGACCGATTTCAAAAGCGCCGATGAGAATTGACGATGAGCTTCGAGTGCCCAGTACGACTGCGATGAGTGGGAAACAAGTTTGACAAAACGATTATCGTACACACCGCATGATATTTGATTGCGGCAAATCAATCATCGCACTGATGAGCTTAATCAATCTGCAATTAATTATCAAGAAGTTTCATGATATTTTGACAGATTCAAGTATGAGGGAGATTAAATATTTTTCGTTGGGAGACTTAACAGTCCCAAGTTGACACTTTTTCAAGTCTCAAGTTGAGGCTTCCGAAAGTCTCAAGTTGAGACTTTATACATTTTCAATTTGAGCCTTTCAAGTCTCAAATCAAGACGTAAAAGTCTCAAGTTGAAAATTCTAAGTCTCAAGTTGATACTTTTTGCAGTTTCAAGTTGAGACTTTTTCCAGTTTCCAGTTGAGAATTTCCCAAGTCTCAAATTAAGACTTTTAAAAGTCTCAAGTTGAGAGTCCGAAGTCCAAACTTTCCTTTAAAAAAAAATTCATGTTGAGTTGCGAAAGTCTTGACTTGAGGCATTCAAAAGTATCACCTTGAGTCTATGAAAGTTGAAAATTAAAGCTTCCCAAAATTAAATCTTAAATTGAGATCTCAAAGTCTCGACTTGAGACTTTCGAAACTCTCAACTTAAGACTTTTAGGCTTCAAATTAATCCTTCAGACTTCCGAAAATCTTCTTCTAAGACTTTTGACATCTCAAAAAAAGGTATTATTTTTTTAGCTGTAGTATCTAATATCACACAAGAAGCGAGGAATCCAGCACTCAAATGGCGGTTTAGTGTTGGCTCATGGGTGGGCGGGGGGAGGGGGGTAGCCTACCATTTGCGGCAGTTTGCAAACTCCCTCTGAGCAATCGCGAAAACTTTTACGATCGACGAGTGCAGCATGCCGTTATTACATGCCCTTGGTTGGTATTTATCACAGAGTAGACAGAGAAACGAAAACAATGAGGCAGTGTGAAAATCCCGAGAAGAGCGGAAACCGAAAACTCAATTTTGACGAGTGAAATATAATGACAAAATACGGCAAATAATTATTACACCCGGGATGATTAGCCAAGGCTGTTTGGTTTCCTCCACAAGCTGTATGAAAGATGAGAAACAGCCCGAAAAGAGAGGGATATCCCATCAGAGGTGGGGCTGAGAGTCAAAGATGGCCGTGGGTTAATCCCTTCGGGCGGTATCTCAGAGCGTATAGTGTAGCTCTATCGTCTCCATCGATATATTAATTTATTGCGCGTGGGGTAACCTAAGAACATAACCCATGAGCCAATCGATGGCTCTCTTCCCCGAACATGCCAGACAATGAATTCATCAGAGAGATTTTTTTTTCAAAATATCGGCTCACAATGAGTGAGGAATTTTACGTGAGTGAGGGGAAATTGAAGTTTTAGTTTACAATTGAGTTCTCCTTTATACAAATGTACATCACCCCAAAAAAGTATTTTGAGACTTCAAATGATTTGAAATTATGTTTTTTAATGTCTGAGCTTGAAGTCTGAAAATCTAAAGTTGAGCGTTTTGAAAGTCTCAAGTTGAGGCTTTTGAAGGTTCTCATTTGAGACTTTCAAGCTGATATTTTTGAATGCTTGAAGTCAAGTTTCGGAACTTGACTTTGAAGAATTTTTATTTAAAGAAATTTTCTTTAAATCAAGTTCTAAAAGTCCCAATTCAAGATCTTTTAAAGTATTAACTTGAGACTTTTAAAGGTCTCAACTTGAAACTTAAAAGTATCGACTTGAGACTTGAACGTCTCAATTTGAGACATTTGAAAGTTTCAACTTCAGATTTTCTAAAGTCCCAATTTGAGACCGATAGTTTCAACATGAAATTTATTTTGTTTTGTTGCAAGTTGTAGAGTGCAATAATGCTTGAAATTTGTATGTCTTCTGCGAAAAAAAAATATTTTACACAGAAGCATATAACGGAGACACTATGTCACCACCACTATATATTCCGACAAAAATAAGAGTGTGTGTTAATACCCATGAGATAAGAAAATGCTTTCGACACCAGTGAAAAAACGATCACTTATATCTTCTTTCATATAAGCACGAGCATGGAGAACCTCTGCCCTGCATTTAGTATAATTTTGCCATTATCCCCACCATGGCCATTATAAACCTCTTGGCCCGAAGGCTATATACAATAGGAGAGCATGAAGATCACGCGGGACTCATGATCATAATGATTTCGATGATGGTCGTTCCCTCTCGTTATTACTCTTTCCTTATACACTGGTCAGTCAAATACAAGACATCGCGCGCATGTTCTTCACTTTCGAGGGTTAAGAACAATCACTCATCGTCATTACTCACTTTTGCCATACGGTTCCCTGTTCTCTCATTTATTTTATGCTTTTTTTTTGTAGTTCATTCTGAATTTAATCCTCCCCCATCCCCTCCCGCAATCAATGGGACATTTCAAAGAGTATTTGAATTTGTTGATTGAACCTGTGACAGTGAAATAGTATTCGTTCCTTCCCTCTTTTTTTAATAAATGAATAGAGTTATTGTTGCTAATAAATTAGCAATTTGCCTCCGAATGGGTTCTCTTTTTTTAATTCTTATTTCACTATTCTCTCCCTCTATTTTTTCATGTCGTAGTGCTATCATCAACTGAAATGTCATCAAATTTTTGCGTATTATTTCGTTCTGTCAAATAATCCTACATTCAGACCCTCTTAAGACTCGAATTTGTTTTCAGTCCGGGTTTAATCGAGGTTCAATCAAGGTTCAATCAAGAGGGTATTTAATTAAGAGGGTATTGTTATCAATTTTTCGAGTCATGACTAATTCCATTTTGATGACAATTTTTTAAGTGATCGTTGAAAAATCGATTTATGGGAAAATATCAATTTTTCGAATCTGTATGAAAAATGGAATTTTTTTTTGTGTCAATGAATAAAGGTTATTAAAGTCTATTCATGAAAAAATTAATGAAATTCGATAAAAAATTTGAAAAAAATTTGTCTGTCATTTTTGGTCACATGATGCTATCTCGAAAATGACGGCAATTTTGCATCTCCGGATGCAACTTGAATATAAAAAAATTCCCCTCTATCCGCATCCCTTTTTTTCCTTCCATTCCTCCATTATTTTCAATTTACCCGAGAATATCGCACATCGGGCAGCAATAACGGAACACTAAGAGGCGAAACACGTGTCGCTTGTGTTATATGAGACTAAAATCTCGAATATTAGTAACGATGGGTTGCTCGAAGGGATGAGTACCACAGCCTGTAATATCATTCTCGCCTTATCTTTTTTATTCCTACTGTACCAGACTCGATCAAAAAACCTGACACCACGTGCGACAAAGTGCTAAAACTTTCTACCACTGTGACCGCGCACTTGTGGCACCTTCTAACCAATATCAAATTAAATGTTTTTTTTGTTTTTTCGTGAAGTGTCTGACAATTGACTAATAAATTTCAACCGCTCGGGAAGAATTTTTTCTTCAACATGTCGGTGGGTATTTTTTATATTTGGGAAGGTTCTCTTTGTGGTTTGGAAACTTTCCATTTGGGAGACCGCAATTACGTTATTCTATTGAATGTAAAATGGTTCTAGCGATCGAAATACCACGTGTAGCATTCGATTACTTTCCAATCGCTCGGTGGTCCACAAGAAATGGGTTTTAAAACAGATTTTCTCATAAATCCAGTGAAAAATGGTAACGAAAAAAATAATGCATTATTTTATGATTTTAAAGGTCTTAGAAATTTTAGAAAAGTCTTAGAAATTTTAAAAAGTCTTAGTTTGAAGCCTGAACGTCTTAAGTTGAGACTTTGGAACGTCTTAATTTGAGACATTCAAAGACTCATACAGAAAAAAAATTCTTGTTTTGATATTTCAAAGACTAAATTGAGACTTTCGAAAGTCTCAAGTTAAGAGTTTCGAAGGTCCTAATTTGAGACTTTCGTCGACTTAAATTGAGACTTGAATATCTCAAGTTAAAACTTTCCGAACTAAACTTGAAATTGGACTTCAAGTTGAGTTTTGAAAGTCTCAATTTCCGACCTTTCAAGTTCCAATTTCTCGACTTTTGAAACTGTTAATTTGAGATCATAAGTCTCAAAATAAAGCTTATTTTTTTCGATGAAGACTTTTCCACAGGAAATTTCTCAGACTTCAAAACAAAATCTTGAATAGCAACCACGAGCATTGAAATATGCAACAATGCAGCGACAATCGAGTTGATTCTACAGGAAAACTTTCACCAGTTATTACCCTATTGTTTCAATTATTAGTATCCAAGGTTTCAATCATTACCCGGTGCGTCTTCATTCGCTGCGGAGAGTGCGCACGGCCGCCATCTCACGTAGGCCGAAAGCACTAAAGAATTCCGAATAGCGATCCACAGATAACTTATCATCAACTTGAGCGAAAATGAAATGCAATTATTCTTCCACCACCACTACGTAAAACAAATAAAAAATGAGAATCGCACGATTGCATAAATTATTTTTTTTTCATTTATAGATGTTGAATTTTTTTCTGTCCCATTCGACATTCCGTTTTTCAACTAATTGTTTATAATCATTCTCATTGCAAATGCAATACGACCGATAAGAATTATCTATCTCAATTTATCAGCTATTAAATTTTCATATAATACAATAAATGATTTCCTCATGTTTTAATTTCCTATCATTTCCATTATATTGTTGCGTATTTAAAATAGCCATAAGTTAACAATTTACACTCTGCTGCCTTATTGCATAATTGACGTTAATAAAAATCTTTAAAAATTACCATTAAATTATTCATTTGCAGAAGAATCAAGCGGAAGTGATAATGAAAACCCCCGTCACATTATGTTAAATAATTTCATTGGATTTTTATTCAGAAAATAAAAGATAATTTCCATGTGTCAAAATATCCGAGGATTAACGCCATACCTATATTTACATTTGTCAACAGAATATGAGATAACGAGAGTCAGCGATTATCTTACAGTACGTGTTTTTTTCAGTTTAAATGTGGCACCGAGACAAAGGTGATCACTCCCTATAGCGAAATTTGGAATATGAGGAAATTGTCGGCATTCTGCAACAGTTGGAAGTCTGTAACGATCCAGAAGTTCGATGTCAGTGTAGAATATGTAATCGACAGTGATCCACTCGTCCTGATGTGTTGTCGCTTCGAGCTCTCCATTACTCTTTGAGTGGTTGTAAACACTCTTCAATTTGAAGGGGTGACTGAGAGCACCAGAGGAGAATGTCGCATATTCACCGTCAACTATCGCAATCTTTTGATAATCTGATGATTTTATGTCCACTTCGTTCGGAACTATATGCTCAGGTGATTCTCTCTTCTCATTGCAGTTCTTTTCACGGCTGTACAACTGTAAGAAATTTGCCAATTAATTTTTTTTTATTTTTTTGACACTTTAGTTTAGGAAAAAAATTCGACAGTTTTTTTTTGAAAATCGATATTACCATCGTATGGCCATCTCCAGACCCCCGCAATCTCCTCGTCAAAACATTGAAGTGCTGGCAATTATCCGTGATGAGAAGACAAGAGGGTATGAGGGAATTGCTCAATCGACGAAATCCAGACTCCTCGAGTTTTCGCCCCTTCCCCAGGTATTCAAAAGAACCACCAGTGATGAACTGATAGACTCCTGTGAATGGCTGCAGGTTAAAGTCCCCGCAGACTATAATTGGATGATACTTTGGACCTTCTCTGGTGAGAAATGAAGAAAAAAAAGAAGAAAGGATGTGTTAGCAATATTGAGAGAAAAATACGTTGCTCTCAAATAATTCTGAGATATTTTGAGAATAGCTCACGAGAAAGACTTTAATAAGCTTCAGGAAAATAATGGAAAAAATTATTTAAAAAAAATACAAAGGAAGCAGAATATTGAAGTTATTTATAGCACAACATTCGAAGCAATCTCTCTAAATTACTTCACAGTAGTTCTCCCTCTTCAGAAAATACCATTTCAATGAAATAAATGAGAAATATCGATTATTCTTTTCGCAAGGAGCCAAAACAAAACAGATAACATCCTAGAAATCCATCCCCAAATACAAATTTTATTTATATTCTTAAAAAAGGCTGAATTAACCAAAAGTTCACTTTCCCAAAGTTGATTTAACCATGTTTTTTTCTATTTATGAAATAATCAATTGTTGTTCGTATAATATGACAATCATAATGATCATTACCTCGTATTCTCAATAAACGAAAGCCTCTCCACTTCAGCAAAAAGTACCTGCGTCTGTGCAAGTCTCACATCACTCCTTTTCGGATTATACAGCAAGTGTGTCGTGGATATGACGATGTGGGTTTCAGGGCATTCCTTAAGTGAAAATTTAGCAACAATTCCCACATTATCTCTGTTGAGAATGTCCGAGGAGGTCTGATGGTACTCCACATGCACGTAATCCACCAATTTCAACTGACTGCGACGAAATAGAAGCAGCAATCCATCCCCCGTATCGTTTGTGCGTTTTTTATAGAGATAATCAAACCCACTTGTCTCGAATGGCAACAAAAATTCTTCTAGATGATCGAGTTGCATCTCTTGAATGCATATTACCTGTGAAATAATTTACCCTGTGCTGTATCCAGTAGCAAAGCGGTGAAATAATTCAAGTCGACTTAGCTCCTGAGTTTTCGAGGTCTTTTGATATCTCTGAATCGAAGGGAGATATCGGAGTTTTCGTAATGATTTGCCAGAGATTTTCGTCTTGAATTTCACTGCACGGATCGTTGAGTCTCAAATTTAAATTCGATAATTGTCTTTACACTGCACTGGATAATCTCTTAATATCGAATATAACACGTTGATTACTACGTTTTACTCGGTGGAGGGGTTACGATGATACGAAATTTGGATTGAAACTCTAACAGCGACGATTGTTCTGGAATAGGTGTAAACTATTCAACTGGTAGATTTGAAATTCAATAAATGAGTGTTATGGATCGATTCATACTGAATTGGAAAAGAAACTCTTCGATTGCCCATATTATACTAATCAATAGGTGATTCTCTGACTAATAAATGTATACTCTTTGTTTAGTAGATTAACAATGAGGGTCTCGTGGGTCTCCTCCTGGCCTGATCGTTTATTTACATTCGAACTCTTTCGTTAAATGCGAAATTAGACGATGAACTCTCCTTGAATTTCCTCGCGAGTTACTCGATAGAATACTAAAATCTCGTTACGTTTCAAACAGACTTTTTGCAGCTATCAATTTGCTTCACAAAAAAATGTTATTCCAAGAATATTGCTATCTGCCTTAGATATCGAGATATTCAGTGAAAACTGACCAAAGTCGACTTGAACTGTTTTACCGCTTGGCTGCTGACTTTATCCTCTCCATTATCATTTTTTTCAATAACGCATTTCAACTGACATTAGCTCCTGCTTCGATGATTTCCTGCTGAATAAGTGGCTTTCGGCATTCCCAGCTCAGTGCATTTTTGTTATGGTATTTGTACAAGTACGAATGTGTTTCCAGTAAATTTTGGGCTAATATATTGTACGTTAATAGTCGAAGGATAAAGTCACTCTCTGTATTGGTTGACGAGATTCCTGTAATTGAACCAAAATTAAGTGTAATCATGGCATTAACTAAGGATATCCAAGTACTTTGGCTATTTTTCAATCTTCCCAACTAAACTATTGATTGATAAAATAATTCAGAATTCGAATGTTTAATTGACGATTAATTTAATGATTAAAAAAATGCAGAGTAAAATTCACCAATCGCCCAGTTGAAAAAATTACGTTTCCGAAAGTTTAAACAATTCCAATGATTCATTTATAAACAACGAACATTGAAAAAATAATTACTCTCTGCAAATTGTGATTTGAATAACGCTGAATATTCATGATTGTTTCAATTTTTCTCACGCAATTCGCTTGACAAATTTGACGATTGAAAATTGCATGCACCAAACTATAAAAACACTTGGATATCCTTTAAAAAAATACATGCAGAATATAAATTACCATTTCCAACAGATTTCCACTGTCGCAGCTCTTTGTAATTTTTCCTACTCATTCCATACTGAAGACTCGCCATATTCTGCACAAAATTATTGGACATTTGACAATTGGACGACTCATTCTGGGCAAAACACAAGTCAATAAACGGCTCCATTGTATTCCCCTGCTCCTCTCCCTCGCCAGAACTAAATTTTGACCTCAACAAATTGATGTACGTGGAGTAGAGTGCCTCCGGCACAGATGCACACTTACGAAGATTACCAAGCAGCAAATGTTTGAAAGGTATTTCCGACATATGAAGAATCTGTAAAGTCACGATTGTAAATTTTTATTAATACTCGAAGGTCGTATCTGTGGACAAAACAGAAATATCAGCACTAATAACGATGATAATAATGACAATGGGGGTCGGGAAAAATGGGATAAACGTGCGTATTGTACCGACAAATGGGTGAGAATGAGCCAGGAAAAGAGATGGAATGGGTCATACGATCAGATGCGATGTGAGAAAAAAAATTGCGTCCCGAGGTGTTTAGAAGTCGTCAATGTCACGAACGCAACACTGACTGACACACTTGCCACCGTAATGACCCTGATGGAGCGTAAAAACAAGAACGCGGAGAGGGAATATCAGGGTGTTTGTTGACAACAGCATTGTTTATTGTCGAGAGAGTAAAATGGCAGTGATGAGCTGGGATTTTTTATTCTCGTACGTACCTTTAATGCCTGGTGCAGTGTACCAATGTGGACGTAACGACAGACTACATTTGCTAAAGGCACAGTTGTCACTAGTTTACACCCTGCGATCATTTATTATCCGAAATTTGAATTAACGTATCACCAGGATTAGCCGTTCCATCAATGTGGGTTTTTCGATTTTTTTTTTTGGGCGGTCAGAGGGTGAGAAATTGCGGGCAATTTGCGCAATTGTCAATTTGTGTTCTCCATTGTGAGGAGATTAATCGGTTTGTGATTTGTCTCGTGATCTTTGCGGGGCATTTGCTGCGCGGGCGAGGGAATTTTGAGGTTAGGGGACAGACTACCCGCTAAGGTCACACCGTTCCGCCGAAATTTCACGGCGAGTTCCCGCGCCAACTCCGGGTATTCTCGATATTTCGAAATTGATAGGCAACGGGTGTTGTTTTTTTAACTGGCGAATGTTTGAGTTTTGGGAAATGGACGTTCGAGCGACTGTTGGGGAGACCTCAGAGTGATCGCGAGAGATCCATTTCCTCAAAATGCTCGTTTCTCCGAGCAATTGTTATCTATTTCGGGTGGGACAATGAGGGTGGGAACAACAATGTTGAGCAATTGTTGAACGTGCCAGAGGTCAAGTCACGGTACAATACCTTTCAGACGACGATGGTAAATGCGCTTTTGTTGTTATGCCATTCATTTTTCGTCTTTGTTGTGTATTTGGGTGACGAAAATATGGAAAAATTACGTTTGTGTGGCCACTTGGGCCGACAATTCTCCCGTAAAAGTTCATGGAATGACACTGTTTTGCTTCCGAATGTATGAAATTGAATTTTTTTTTTTCGAATGTAGGTATTGTTGAGGGCTATCGATCGCCATTAATTAAAACTCAATTCATCGATTAGTTTTTTTAATTTTCCAATTTTTTTGAAAATCGGTGGGCCCACGATAACTAAAAAAATGTTCGGAATTGGTTGAATGGCGGCTTGAAATTTTTTTTTTGTAAAAATCGCAAAAATGAACTTCTTCCCCTTCTACTACCCTTGTTCCCACTTGTTTTTCTTCATTGAAATCAACAAATATTATTGTACGATAGAATAAGCTGTGCAAAATAATAAAAACATTCTTTTTTGCTTTATCTCCAATATTTCTACTCTGATAAACAAAATTGAATAGAATAGGACAGCATAATAATTCATTCCGTAAATTTCCAGATGTATGGGTCCTTTTATTACATGAAATTAAAAATATCAACAGTAATAATACAATATAACAATACGAGAAGAGATGTTTTTTAAATTAATGGCACGATAACAGTTATCATGCAATTACGTGAATGATCAATCCCCAACAAGTGAACCGAAATAAAAAAATCGTCCAAAAATAAATCTTAAATGTCTCCTAAAATTCTCTACTTATCAATTTCTATAAAAAGCGCATTCTCACAAATTCACGAGCACATACTTTTCTTCACATTTGAACATACGGTAGTAGTTATTACTTGAGATAAAACGTTTGAGGAATTTCAAGATATGACTCATTAATTCTTCCGGAGAGAAAGGCACTGAAATGATGAGTATCTACTTCGAAGCAATACCAGAGGGTCTCGAAGAATAATATTCCCACAGCCTCATTGAATATCTATTCACCATCGGCGGGCTTTGCCGAGATTTTCAGGGTATGAAACAGCCAACGAAGTTGATGATTTCAATCAACAATCAGAGATCCCGGTGTATGCTGAAAGCAGCACCGAGGCCCCAGCTCAACTCGTGGCCGTCGTACTTCTTGTACAGCTGCAAGAGAACATTTTTCATTTTAAAGTCACGAAAATTCAACAACGAGCTAATGAAGAACAGAGGATTCCGGGGAATTGTTCCTTGTTCACCATTCTTCTCTTTTCCTTACGTTTAATTTAGTTGAACTGTCAAGTCCGAAACAGTCCTCCAATAATACATAAATATACATCATGTCCAGGCACGCGAAGGGCTGATCTGCATTTGGATAGTTGCAAACATCAACAGTTCCGTTGTAAAAAGTACTGAGTGTTATCACACCACCTTTGAATGGATCAATCAAGCCGGCCTGAATATGCAGGAGAAACACAATAACATAAAAGTATGAATGAGAAAATTTGCAGAGAATAGTTGCAATGATATTGTAAAGTACGGGGCCCATTTAATGATAAATGACTTTATTAAAAGAATTGGGGAAAAATGAGAGATAAACGAGTGGAAAATGGCATTTTTTGCTGAAGTTTTGTCATTGTCCAAATTTAAACTTTAGATTTTTTTTGTTATATCGCCCCAGTATGTAACAAAGTTTTTCTCCAATTATTCGCTATTGTTTATAAATGAGAACAGCAATTCCTGCTTTTTCTACAAAAAAAGAAATTCATGTCCGAAAGGAAATAAATTATTGGCATGACTCTTCGAGAAAAATCTCCCAATTATTTAGAATAAAGGAAAAATATTCTTCCGAGGAGAATTACCTCAGTGGCACGATCAAAGTAATAAGAAATCCCGTAGATGTCCCGTTTCCTCAACCCGACAGGTCGATCCTCAGCACCGCTGACAAACTTCTTAACAAGATTCTTGCAGTCTTCAACCCTCACAATGGGCCTCTTCTCATCCGCCCCAGCATAATTCTGTGTCTTCACAATTTTATAAGACCCATTGACTGGGCCCTTGACCATGTAATTCCGCCCCCCATAACTCCACTCAGTCGCAATAATAGGATTAATGCATTCCGATTTAACTTGAATAATCCCAGGGACATCCGTTTCCTCAGCGTTTAGATCTAATGTTAAAATGGCCCTTCTGGCCGCCAGCACACCCATGCCCAAGTAGCTATGAGTGTAAAGGCTCAAATTATGGCTAAAAGCATTGATCGTGTAAATATGATTATCAAGTTTCCTCAAATCCTCTTCATCAGGCACATAAGTAACTTGGGTAGACCCACCCCCTAGATCTAGTACAGCCACGGTGCTTCCAATATTGTGCGAGCTCAGACGATTCAGCAGAAAATTGACAGTGAACCACGCGTAAATTCCCTCGTCAACGCCTCCCATCAGCGATACGGCGTTATCAGTGATGAGAAAGCCGGAATTTCTGAAGTAATTTCTGCACTCATCGAGAATAAGATGAGCCTCTGCTTCAGGCAGCAGCCTCAGTCCAGCAGTTGCTTTCAGACTCAGGGGCGTCTGCGACCAGGCGTCCTCTGGAATAACAGCTTTGGCTCTTTTAATCAATCTCTCCAGAGATTCGATCATGTTCTTGGCATTAGTGTAGCTGCTCAAACCCGGTTTTATCTCTTCGAAGAACTCATTGTCCAGAATGAGATCTCCGTTGATGATGGAGGAGTGAAATGTGAAGGCTAGAAGACGAGTGCCTGTCGATCCAGCATCGATGATCGCAATGTAGCGATACTTCTGGAGTTTTAGAGAGCTTGCTATGCTGTCGATGGCGGACGAACCGAATCTCGTTGTACTGAGATCATTGGCTATTGCTAGGTATCCCAGAAACAATATTCCCAGGATGAACAACAGCATTATTGGTCTGCGGGTCAGCTGGCGGGAAATTTTCTTCGGACGGAGGGCCGGTGCGTTTGACGAATCATCGTCGGTTCGAAGCTGGAAAGGAAAAAAGGAAGTTGGAGTTGAAGAATTCTTTGCGGTGGCCCAACGTTTCCAGGGAAGACCTCAGCATAGCTTCTTCATTATTCCGACGTACTAAATCATTACGAATCAAACAAATTAAAAACCGGAAACATATATTCTTCTAACTCTTCCTTTAACTGTACTTGCACTCTTATCTTCTCAGTCTGCATTCTGCTATGTCAGTTAACTATAGTTTAACTATTGTTATTCTGTTTTTGGTTATTGTTAAGCTCTCAGAGCTCTGGTTTAATTCACTTAGAATTTCACTTGAATTATTTTTATTTTCTACTCACAGTACTTAGGGGAGGATGGGGCAAAACGGCCCCCCTTCAATCGTCAATATTTTCCGATTCAATAATCCGATTGGGATGAGTTAGAGCTCGTTTTGAAGAATGAAAAATTATCTTCAAAATGAAGTTGAAACTGGGAATTTTCACAATGTCATTCACAAGTTATTGACAATTGAAGGGGGGCCGTTTTGCCCCACCCTCCCCTACTTATGTTACTTTGTTAACTATTATTAATTATTTGTTGTACAGCTATTATTACCGCTATATTCTATTGACTTCTTACGGTGTCATTTTGTAAGACAAAACTTACAGTAAATAAAGTCTATCTATTTATAACTAATGTAAAATAATGTAATATAAAAATAATATAAATATAAAATATAAATATAAATATAAAATATAAAATATAAAAATAATATAAAATAAGTCGGGGGTATGGCCGAGTCGGTAAGGCGTCCGCCTACAACGCCAGAGGTCCTGAGTTCGAAACCTGGCACCGGCGAATTATTTCTGGATTATTTGATTTAGTTAAATAATATAAGGACACCATTAAGAATGTTGGAAATGAAGTCATTGTATTCTGATCATTCACTTGAAATACTGTCGTAACATCGTAGCATACAAGTTACCAGTTGAGTAAAACAAAATTCAATCCCAAGGATAAATCAGTGTTAATTCAAATGGGGCTGCAGGATAAATAAAAAATTATTCTTCGGGTCAAATATTGAAAAATTATGACTTGTACGATATAATTGACCCCGATGATAAATTTTACCCTGGGGTTTATTTGGACAACAGGGCTTGGTGCAACCGGGCCACAAAAATTTACATTTGATATAATTTTTGTATATAAATCAGGCCAATTCCATGTATAGAATATAATTTTCAGAATACATATTTTTCCGTATGAGAGTTGGTGCACGAGTGCACTAGCTCAATTGATAATGAAAATAAAAAATAACAAGAATATTTTTTTTTCTCACGTCTAAATATCATCAACATTGAACCACGTGTACACAACTCCTGATAGAGATAATTTGATACATAAATTTTGTTCGATCAAAAACAAAATGTAAAGACCCAATAGGATGCACATGTGACTGAATAAATTAAATTATAATAATATACTTCAGAATCACAATGTATCTCCCACAGATAAATATAACCTAAAAATCCACTGAAAATTATTATATTCCTCAATTATTTATTATAATACTATAACATGAATGCTTACAGGCATATATTGCATGAAGCCAGGCTTACAAATATTTTCCTATTGCCTCGAAGGAACTGATAGAATACTGATGCTGATACGATGGGATAAGATGTGCTTCTTCACGTTTGACATCATCACTAGACATCACATTCTATATATAACAGAATGTCAGTAGTCACGTGGTCCACGTGGCCACCGCGAATAGTCAAACAAGATGATGGAATAAAAAAAAACAGTTTTATCTTATCGTGGAGATGTCTCTATAACGCGGACTACTCGATGTTTTCCGTTACTATCAAGTGATTAAAGTGCATTCAACTGAAGAATAGTTGTTAATTGAATGATTGTCGACCTGAAACTAGAATTAGTGTATTTGTTGGAGGAAATAGTTGTAGAAATAACATAAAAATTAGAAAATTTCCAAAATGTCTGCTGTGGCTGGAGAAAATATAAGCCTATTTGGACAGGCTATTATTCAAATAGGGGCTGGTGGTTCCGCTGGTTTCGTCGAAGTCTGCGTCATGCATCCCATGGATCTGGTGAAGACTCGAATGCAATTGCAAGTCAACTCAAGTGTCAAAAATCCTGGGTATTACACAGGTGAGACTCCGGATAAACTTGAGTATAAAAATTTATTGTAAAAGAATTTGAAATGTTTTTCAGGGGTTCTAGATTGTATGAAAAAAATGTACATACATGAGGGGTTGGGCTCATTCTGGAAAGGCATAGTTCCACCGATTATCGCGGAAACACCCAAACGGGCTGTTAAAGTAATAAAATTGTTTCATGTACTTATCTCGGTTTATTGATGATCATTATTGACACACGCTGTATTTGCCTTTGCTCCAGTTCTTCACGTTTGAGCAGTACAAAAAATGTTTTTTGTGGGGAGCTAGTGCACCGACACCGCTGGTAATGCTGAAGATTCTTATCGTTAACGCTCAGAAAAATGAGATCTTGTTTTAAAAATGTCAAAGGGCTTAAAATGAGATTTTCAAAACTCTCAGCCAATAAAAAAAATTAATAGAAAAACCTGGCGAATGCGAACTTTCTATTAGTTTTTGGGCGATTCTATTGATATTTTCAAAAGTTGATATTCTATAGAGAAGTCAATAGAATTAGATTTTTCTATAGAATTTCTTCGGCTCAAATTTTCTATTTTTTGTTTAATTTTCTTCATGAAGAGAGAATAAAAATAGAATGAAAAGTTGGAAAATTTGAGCCTCAGGAATTTAATAGAAAATATGTTAATAGAAAGTTCAATAGAAATCTAATCGAATTCTAGCAAATTCGCTAGGTTTTTTATTTAATTTTTTCGTGCGTGTCAACTTCAGAATTTTGAAAGTCTCAATTTGAAACATTTAAAAATCTCAATTTAAGATCGTAAGTCTCAAAATGAAGTTTGTTTTTCTTGGATGATGCATTATAAAATAAATTATTTTAGACATTCGCGCTCGCGGGATTCTGCGCGGGAGTAACCGAAGCAATATTGGTAAATCCATTTGAAGTTGTGAAAGTACAGTTACAGTCGAACCGCGAAAGACTGAAAAACACCCCATCAACGTTAGCCGTAACACGAGCCATCATAAGAAAAAATGGTCTAGGACTTGATGGTTTGAACAAAGGGTTATCAGCAACTGCTATGAGGAACGGAGTGTTCAATTCTTTCTATTTTGGATTTTATCACTCGGTTAAAAGCTACATACCTGTCAATAAAGATCCTTGGATGGAATTCTTCTCGAAGGTACCAATTTAAATCGCAAAAAATCATAGTGTCTTTAGATTACCCGAAATATGCCATTATCACGCTTGATTTTTCTCAACTGCTTCAAATATCATAATAGCAACACCTTTCTAGGGCCATTATACAGTCATGAATAAATATAAATGAATAAATGAATAACTGGAGCAGAAAAACACTGGTCTCCGGTAATAATGAAGGAGTCAATGCCATCATTGTTATGGGGAGCTGTCGATTTGATGTATTTGCTTAAATAGATTAACATTTTACATTACAATGTCGATAAGAAAAGTTAAATAATTATATGAAATAAAATTGTCCTGATGAGTGCATTTAGCACTTGAAACGTTGGCAAAGGATTCAGAATAAACTGATAGTTTTGTGCATATCATGACCGCATAATGGCCCTAGGAAGGTGTTGTTATTACGAAATATGCCGCACTATTTCGAAAATGAAAATTCATCAATAAAAATAATATTCTCAGGTGGGTCTAGGATTCATTGCTGGAACAACAGCTTCATGTCTGAATATTCCCTTCGACGTGGCGAAAAGTAGAATACAAGGTCCTCAAGGAGATATCAAGTACAAGGGAACGTTGAGGACAATAAAAATTATTTACCAGAGGGAAGGGTAAGTGAAGAGTCCGATGGGGATTGTTATTATCAGAAATTGAATATTAAATAATTTTTTTAAAGTAAATGACATTGACTGGGGGGATTGGAGGGAAATGGAAGGGAAAAAATTAATGCGAGGATCCCACATCAATTGTAAATGCCCTTTCTCATTACTTTAACGTATTTCTAGATTTTCAGCCTTGTACAAGGGGCTACTGCCAAAGGTACTTCGATTGGGCCCTGGGGGAGCAATAATGCTCGTCGTCTACGACTACATGCACGCCTTCCTCTCATTTCACATGATCAATTGAGTTCTACTCTTTACAATTACACATTATGAAAAAAAATAAAGAATAATCCATCTCGATCTTCATCTTGTACGTTATTTATAATTTATCAAGAATATACACATGTAGATCGTTGACCCAAAGAAAAATATCAGTCGTCGAGTAAAGAATCCAGCCATTTCTCCAAGTCAATGGACTTCGTTGGTTTGGCAGCATTCTTTCCTTTTGAATCTGCATCATAGATTAATATTTTTTAAATATGTTTAGCATAAGTGAAGTAGAGATTTGACTAGACTCATTACCTTCAGCAGCACGCGAATTAGCAGATGGAGCACTCGCAGGTAATAGCCGCACAGGCTCTTTCAGTGACAACAAAAAATCAAGATCTTCCTCCATGGTTTCAGTAGTGTTAACATGCTGTTGAGTTGCTCTAAGACTCTTACTTCTAGAATTTTTATCCTGACGAGCTTGTTCATCGATTTTTGACTGCTGTGAAATGAGAAATGACTCCATTTCCTTGGCATAATCTTTCCTAGCGAGCTCCGCCGATGAATTAATCAATGTGAGCTCGTCCTTCTGTAAATGTAGCAGTAGCAATTATTTTCTATCAACTACCGTCGCCCTTTTCCGTGTCAGATTCGATATTCCTTTATTCAATTAATTGTTTATAATCATTCTCAAAACAATACGACCGATGAGAATCATATGTTCCAATTTATCAGCTGGTAATTTTTCATATTACAATAAATGATTTGCTCATGTTCTAATTCCTATGTTCACTGAATAAGATGTCAATCATAATTACAATTTGTCATTTCGCGTTGTCAGCTCCACATTAAATTTAAAACTTCATTTGGAATATTGAGTCACAGCTTCTTTTTATTCATATTAGAAATTTTTTATTTGGATATTAATATTATTTGTTCAAAGTGAAAAAATCGATCATCATTTTCACTATATTGAATTCAGATTCTCCTATCCTTGACGTAAAAAATGTGAGATAATCTCATAATTCTAGCTATTAACTCTAATCAACTTTGTTCGAAGAAAGCCTTAGTAACCGCAATATTAAGAAAGTAGAATTATTCTATTTTCCTCTGACCTACATGATGTGGACAATTATGATTGGTTTGTTCATGTTCCATAGAATGGTATTCAATTCTCTTTTGTTTGTTAGGCGGGCTTCATGAAAATTCGACACAAGACGATTGAATTGATGATTGATTGATTGATGAAAATCGCCTTATTTTCTCCATTCGTTCGAGATTTTCTCCATGCTTTTTTTAGAAAGGATAATACTGAGTTATCACAGTGCTTACATTGAGATATTTCTCCTCGACGGTCACATATTCATTGAACGGAATGCAGTTAAATATCCTCGATAATTGATTAACATCAACCGAGAAATAGTCATTGAATTGAGATGCATCCCAAGTCCACTTTTTTTCACTTTTAAACGTGAAAGACGAAGTGGAAACCGGTGCATTCAAGAGTTCTTCAAAAGCCTTGCCGCTCTCGGGTTCATCGTCATCGCTGAGCTCAGCGAATCGACAATCCAGTTGGGATAATAATTTATTTGAAAATTCGTCATGGCTATCATAATCGCCATTGCTTCTACCGTTGGACTTGTTCTTCTTCGATTCTGCTGCATTACAATTCGGCCCTTTTTTGTGTTGTTTGTGATGAGCTTTTTTATGCTCGCTTCGTTTAAATTTGCTTCTATTTCTGGAAATAAAAATCGAAAAAATGAATCGAAATGAACAAGTGTATCAAGTTTGAATTGAATCATTAATATTATTAAAAAATTGTACTTGCGATTGTTTATGCGACGAACATGAATCAGAATCCATTTTTATTATATTGGTGATAGGTGATGATTGCAGATGATCCCAACCTGTCGAACATATTGTTGTATTTAATTAAGAAATAATTCAGGATGAATCGAAGGGGCGCATTTATTGATCGTTCTTCAGAATCAATCATAGAACAAAAGTGAATCACGCATGACGTTATTTCCAAACATTAGAGAATGACAATCAACTTTCTTTTTATTTTACAAAAGAGAGGACGAGGATAGATTAAACCATTCGATTCCGTAACAATATTATTATTATTATTCGATGGATTTATTAACTATCGGAGTGTCAATAAGCAGAATAACCTCATATTTTGGAGGAGAAAAATACAGGATAAGGTTATGATCACATTGGCCCCTCTCAAACTCACCTATAATAAAACTGAGATGATTGTGCACCGCAGAGTTGCCCAATCACCAATCACATTCTTGTCTCCCACCTCCAAACCAAAAACAATCTTCTCGCTCAGTCTGACCGTAACCGCAGTATAGATTTAGATACCCCTGGTAAACATGGCGTCAGCTTTGGAGTCGATGGTTGTTGATGATAAACAATTGCCTGAAAAACCAGTGGACAGAGAAAAGGTACATCATAAACTAATCCAATTAATCTAATCTAATAAATTAGTCGAACTAATTAATAAGTCTTATAATTATTTTATAATTCTTCTCATTTTTCTGGGAATTATTCCATGAATCGAGGACTTAACCTCTCATTCCTGGGGGTTTGTTTACATCAGAGTGAAGATATTCAACAAAATAATCGACGCAAATATTTATTCATTACCAAAATCTTATTTAAGCCATGAACAATGAAAGGGTTTAGTCGATTGGATAATTTTTTCAGACATGTCCACTACTTTTACGAGTATTCTGCAACACCGGTCGCCACCACAACATAATGGACTACAGTCGTGGAAATGTTCCATCAAATGAGCTACAAATTTACACGTGGATGGACGCTACTCTCCGAGAAATAACCGGTTTAGTTAAGGAAGTTAATCCTGATGCCAGGAGTAAGGGAACGTATTTTGATTTTTCACTTGTTACTCCGGAATTGAGGAACTCTGGGTATAGAATGAGGGAGATTGGAGTCACATGTTCTGGACAGAAAGGAGCTGATGATAATAAAACATTGGCTCAAGCAAGGTATTTGAAAGATTATTTAAACAGATGAGAAATTTGATTTTATCTCATTAAAACAGAGTTGAAATAATTTTATTCAGAGAGGAATTCCCTGAATTAAAATAATTCAATTGGAATTTTTTTTTTCATTTAGAAATATTTGATGAATAATCACGTCATTTATCTCTAGGTTTACGATCGGCGATTACCTGGACATTTCCATCACTCCCCCAAACAGAATGCAGCCAGCAATTAGACGAGGCGGTCCTCGCCAATACTGAAAAATCCCTCAATTTTTTATAAACTCCCAACGTCCAAGAGAAAAACAGTGAAAATTTACTCATAAATCACACAATTCTTTATTTGTAAACGCAATGAAAAAAATTTATATACAAAAGATCACATTAAATAACGCATTTTAAACCGGAAGTGAGATAAAAATTTCTCAACCTAAAAAAATGATAATCGAAAACCGAATTATTGAGCATTGACCAGGGAATACTGATTATTGAACACCAATTCACACGAAATTTTTTAAAAATTCATCAAGTGATTGAAGACATCGAGAAGGAAGAACACATTATATAAATATTCATGGTCTCATCTGTATCAAATGGAACCAGGAGGAAAATTATCGTATCCATAATAAACCCTTTTTTGTCACTGAAAAATTCCTTTTAAGCGACTGCTTGCACCTGACCTCCCCGACTCCCATTAGTCTCATAGCAAGAAATATAATTCGAATTTTGGATGGAAGAAAAATCGAGTCAATTTTCCCCCAATTTATCACCGCGACACAGCCCTTCAGCTCTAAAAATGCAAATGAGACAATCTTTTTAAGCTTCTCACCCTCAAAAAAATTGAGAACGCTCCCCCCTCATTCCACCGACTTCCAGAGAGCCTTCACTTTTTCCTCTTATCGCAGTCTGTCTTCTGAATAATAAGTTTGTTCCTCTGTCTGGTGACTTTGGTAGTGGTAGTTGCAGCACATGGACCTATCTGTTTAAACTCCTGCTGAGAGATCCTCGGCGGACTAGTGGTCCTAGCAACCGCCGATCCCCTGAACAGTGTCTCCAGATCCTGCACCCTCTTCTTCAAGAACTTGTTCTCCCTCCTGTACTTGACCATCTCCGAGTCCTTATCCTGTTTCTCATAGCTGGAGCTCCCAGTCTCATCCGCAACACTCCTAAACATCATATGCATCTTCTGCTCGTGCTGCTCCCTCAAGAATATCATCCTCCTCTCGGCCTCGACCTTCGAGTGCTTGAGAGAATTACTCAACTCCCGATTTATGATATCCAACGACTGAATCCTCGCCTCAGCATCATTAAGCTGCATCTCGAGACTCCGTCCCGCCTCCTTCAGATCGATAACCTTGTTAAAATACTTAGTAAACAACTTAACAATCTCATCCAGACTCAGCATGGACAACTGCCTCATAAGTACCATCTCCATATCCTCCCTCTTGCAGTTCTTGACATCGAAGCACTTCCTCCCGCAGATCTTCTCATTCTTCTGCTCAATCATGACATCAACCACCTCAATAGCCTCCCCACACTCCAGCCTCTTCCTCTCCTCCAAAGTGCTCAAAGTATTCTCCTTGAGCTTCGAGTCAAGATTGCACTTCTCCTCGGAGAGTCGTTCCTTCGTCTTCCTCAAATTCTCGATCTCAATCCTCAGAGCAGCCTTGGAGTCCACATCGTCCGCCCTCTCGAGGTCCATCGACTTCTCCTTGAGTATATGATCCAAATGCGAGATCCTGACTTCCAGCATGTCCTGCTTCTTGTCCTCACTCCTGTACCTGGCGCTCATCCTCTCGTCCTCACTCTCCGACTGCATCTCCTTGAGCTTCGACGCCGTCAGATTGTACTTCTCCTCCAGCTCACGAATCTTCCTCTGGTCCTCAGCGACCTCATCCTCCAGCTGATTCTTCCTCACCTCCTCCTTCCTCAACTGCTTCTTCATCTTCTCCATCTGCTTCTTGGAGGAGTTCAACGAGCTCTCGAGCTCCAACACCTTCTTCGCCGAATCCCCAGCGATCTGCTTCATCATCTCGATATCCCGCAATCTCTGCTCGTAATGTATCGCCATGTTCTTGTACAACTCAATCTCCCTCCTGTGCGTCGTCTTCTCCTCGTCCCTGTAGAGAGAATTCTCCGCGTGTGCCAATTGCGTTCTAGTGTTGTAGTACTGCTCCTCAAGCTTCGACCTCTTCCTCTGGAACTTCTGCTTGGCACTCGTCCGCGCCTCCGAGTTCTTTATCATATCCGCGATGAACTTCTCCTTGATCTTGATGGTCGTCTCCAGCTCGCCGATCCTCTTCTGGGCGCCGTCCAAGTCCGACTGGATCTTCTTCACCTGCGTCTGCTTAGCTTCGTTGTTCAAGGTCAACGTCTTCAGGGTCTTCATCGGCTCGGGCATTTCGTAGCTCTTCAGCGGCTCCAACAGCAGATCCTGGGAGTTGTCGAAGGCCTCCTGGTTGTCGTTAACACCCCTGAACCCTCGCCCATTGTCCAAATCCTCCTCGTAGGTTTTGCCGCAGGGCTTGAACGCCCCGTTGAAAGCTATCACTTCGTTGCACATTTCCGATCCTGGCAGCATCGAGTTCCGCCTGGAGTTGGCGTTCCTGATCGGCGTCGGCTTGATCAGCGGCACGTAGTCATTGTTGTTGTTGACAGGATGAGCATTTCCGGAGATTATCGTTAGGCCCTTCTCCTGGAAGCCGTCGTCGATGGCGTCTATCAGTCTGTCCGTCTCCATCTTGAGTTTGTTCATGCACTCGTCGAGCTTCTCCAAGAAGTCCGGATTGTCCGAGTCACCGTCGCTCTGGTCGTCGTCCTCCGACATCTCCGTGTCGCTCTCGGTGCTGCCCTCCGATGTGTTTTGGAACTCCATCCGCGCTTCCGACTCGTCGGTCCTCTCGTCTGTCTCCGTCACCTCTTCGATTCGCTCTAGGGATCTGCGGGCGTTCTCCGGGTAGCCTGGAATGCTTGCTGCGTCGTCGCTCGTTATGCACTCCTCGTACTCCTGCTTCAGGCACAGCCACTGCTTTATTTGGTCTTGCTCGTTGTGGGGGAGAATGTCGGAGGCGACGAGCTTGCTGAAGAGGCCCTCGGCGTTGGAGACGAGCTTCGACCACTGGGTCGCCGCGAACTCCAGGCGGAATATGTCGGCGCTTGGGCTGCGGTCGCCCGACGTGGCCGAGGTCAGCGTGTCGTGGGTCTCGTCGCCCGTCTGCTCGCTGTCATCCTCGGGGTTGTTCAGACGCGCACGGTAGGACGCCTCGATGTACTGGGTGTACATGCGGTGGTTGTCCAGGGGGTTCGGGAAGGGAATCCACGAGTTGTAGTGCATCATCGTGAGTGATCCCTATGGAAGTGCACTGGAAGGAAGGGGACATTCTTTATTCCAGTATTTTTTTTTATTAATAGTATATTTCGTAACGAGTGCAAAAAAGTGTTTTTTGGCGAGTGGGAGGTTTATATCACGAGCCGAAGGCGAGTGATATAATCCCACGAGCTAAAAAACATTTTTTCACGAGTTACGAACAATATTTTTCATCACAATGTGGCGGAAATTGGACTTTTAGGCACGCGGAGCGTGCCGAAAAGTTCACTTTTCGTCACAGCGTGATGAAAAATATTTTTCATCACAATGTGGCGGAAATTGGACTTTTAGGCACGCGGGGCGTGCCGAAAAGTACACTTTTCGTCACAGCGTGATGAAAATGTTATTTTTTTTATTTGAATTTTCTTTTTTTTATATCGACTTTTTTTTATTGAATATGTTCTATTGAACATTTCAATAGAATCGGCCAAAAATTAATAGAAAGTTCAATAGAAATCCAATAGAATTTTCTAACGAATTCGCTAGGTTTTTCTATTAAATTTTTTCATGGGTGTTAATAAACGATAATCAGCAAATACTATGAATTTAATCAATTGCTTCAAGGTGTTGCATTCTGCTGGCCTCGATGAATACTAGTCAAGTGAAATTTGACAGTCGTTCCATTGGAGAATGGCCCAACAGTGTGACTTTTCAAAAATCATTGTCACAGTGGGGAATGCCCCACTAGGATATCCTGAATTAAGAGTTTTAATTGCTGATAAATATGGGTATTTATTGGTGATCTTACCTGGAGGTATTCAAGGAACTCACTGAGATCTCATTCTCCATGTATTTACTACTCCATGTGTATATTATCAACTATCCAGAGCAGCCAGAGAGCGTCTGCCCAATGGATGCCCCATGGACCACGGGAGCCCGTCGGTAAATTGCGACTTAGAACAAGTTTCCAGGAGTGATCGCCAGGCGCAGGTGCGCGACGCCTTTACCATGAGAGCTGAACAGAGTTTTCAACTACTCTGACGTGCTCAAGTACATGAACAAGTACTCGATGTTGGGTAATGTGTTAATATAGCAACTCCAACGAATTTTTCGAGGAAGCTGAATTATTTTGTCATCCAATATAAATAGAAATTGAAATCAGGAAAAAAATTGAGTCGGACTCAATTAGGTAAATAACTTGAAGGGGGTGACTGGGTCAAATTTTGACCTTTGTGGGGTTCATACCAGCTGCGTCCCCGTTGCGAACCCTGGGTAATGCTAAGTGCTGGTGAAGCTTGATACTTTGAAAAATAAGTGCTTCACTACACGTTGAATTTATATGAACACCTCATAATTGAAATTTCATAAATTGCTTTTAGAAGGGAAAGCGCAGAAAGGGAAGTCCCGTACATCTACATGAGCATCCACGTTATTAAGTGTGATGGCTCAAAGGCGGTTAAATTCATTCATTGCAACTAGGTTCCGACAAAATATACGTCAAATTACTTCAAGTTCAATATAAAAAAGTTAATATTTACCTATCAGTATTCAGAATGAGTAGGAGGTGCTGTTCTACCTAATTACCCGAAGTTGGTAGCAGTTAGAGATTGGCGATAACCCGATATATCGAAGTGTCCGATATTGTATATCGATATTCGATATTTTTCGTCAATCTCGAAGTCTAGATAGATAGATACGTCGCTGGTCGATTAAACACCTAGTCACCAAAATCTTACATAGTTGTCATAAGGGTCACAAGGCGGAAGTCAACACAATCAGTCATAAATAAGCCGTGATGACGGCAGCCAAGTGAAATGAGCGTCGTTAAGACACGGAATACCCATTATTAAATGATTATTATTTTATGACTGATTTCGTAGTAAAGAGTGACATAAGAGAGGAATATGTCAATGCGATGACACGTTCTGAACGCTCGAATGATTGAAATTATGGAAGAATCAGTTCAGTGTAGACAGATATGAATTTACGTTGATGTAGTGTGGCCAATCAGTTTTCGCACAGACTATATCAATAAATCTGGCTTTGGCAAACTGATCCATTAGCAAATGTGTGCAAATTTGTATTTTCATTTTGTACGAAGGGGAGGAGAATTTTCGGTTACTCGACTCTGTGGCGTATTTGGTAGCAACATGAGATTCACACCCTCGGGCTGCCAGGTTTGAGCTATGGCTGAGGATTTTCCACAATTTTTTATGAGAATTTTCCACATAATGGTCAAATGGAAATTCCATACAATTGTCAAATCGAATATTTGACGTAATTTTCAACTGAAAAATTCACTTCACATTCAAAATTGAAATAATTCAATTATTTATAACAATGTCAAAGCCAACTTGACTGCACCGAGAAATATTCAATAAAAATTACGTAAATTATCTTTTCCGTAATTCCGGAGCGAAATATGGTTGTAGGAAATTTTACGGAACTGTTACGCAATTTTCCCAGAGCGTTCCGTAATTTTTATTTCAATCTCCTGTGAAAAATTACGATACCGTCCCGCAAATTATCTGAGTTGATTCCGTAATCGGTGAGCGAATTGTGAGTTCCGTAATTTTTACGGACCATTTTTCTCCGTGTGGAAAATTAACCAAGATGTTCGTATTGTATGCCTCTGCACCAGTCCACATCTCGATAATTTTTTCGTGGAGCCTATTACCAGGATCAAACCCCAGCTGACGTATGAACTAAAGAGCCCACTTATTGCTGCGATCTATCGATTTTTTTAAGTGTCTTAAGGAAGCGTTACGGCTGATGGGTTATCCAGTAAGGGACCAATGAGTGAAAAAAGACGGCTGAAAATAAAAAAATGGAGACGGGAGGAGCGAGAGAGGGGTTATTTAAATACACCGGCTAAGTTCGCGTACTCGTTCAGTCCAACAATGATGTTTTAATCCGATCCATTAGAACCTGTGCGCGTTATCTCCATTCGTTCGGATCGGCAATCAATATTTTAAGTAAAAATCGTGGTTAATTATATCTTGTTGAATATCTTTGGGGGGATTTGGCACTGGCTCAAGCGAAAACACTGGCCCACATGCCGAACAAGTAAGTAAAGAGATTTTTATATGGGAATCCGAGTTATTTTACTACACCATCCGTTCGAGTTTTCGTTACATTTTTTTTGTCCGAGGGGAGTCGCGGGCCTTTTTACAGAAAATTGTCCTCAGTGTCAGGATGATGAGTGTCAGGCTGTCTCATGGAGTGATGCAGTACCGAGTGAACGGGTACCGGAGATTGAGGTACCATTCCTCCAAGAACGATTTCCCTCGCTGAGGAGAACTCAAAAAGCGGTTGTGAATAAATTTCAACAGTATCGGTAATTGTATTTTTGGTTCTTTTTGTTTTCAATAGAGTAATTTTTCCAACAAAGTGGGAAAAGGTCTCGCAAACGTTCCTTAAGGAGCATAAAAGATAATATTTATATTGGAATTATTGAAGCAAATTTGGAAATGGATGATGACGTTTTTAGTATCAACGAATTATTTTGGTCAACCGATGCTATCATAGGCCTGATTGGAAGTAGACCGCCTAGATTTAGTCAGATTCATAAGCACTATGCAATTAACCCAAATGCTTGGCCCAAATCCAAGAATTAAAACACTTCCCAATAAATATACCCATTAAGAGGCCTCGGGGATAAATAAATGACTAATGAATTCTCGGTCGAAAGTGGCTGGAAAAATCTGAATGATAGCTTGAAATATTTGTTACTTTTGTAGGAATTGGATAAAACGGGTTGAAGATGATCTGAAGGGGACAAATAATTTTAAGAAATGTGCAAAAATGCGAGGTGGACGACAGTTGTGGGCGCCACCATATTTTTTCCCTCTCCCGTTTAAACCTTCATCCTCACGTCAACTCATACTCAACTCGCTTCATCCGTTTCTACAAAAATGGAAAATCTTGTAAGCCATCTTTTGGATTTTTCGATTTTCTTTTGGCTGGGTATTCATGACGCAGTTTTCCCCGCATTTCGGTAGTTCTTCTTCACTATCAAAACCGTTTGATAATTGAGGTAGATGTCACATTAATATCATATCCGTCAACATACAAGTGAAAGAATCATTTAGCTCTTCTAATTGTTTTCCAATTAGCCGGCAACAACCGATTCATGATTGCCGAAAGTTTGTATAAACCAATATCTTTCCGATTATTCTTTCGCCTCGGTAACGGGAGTACGACCGGGATTATGCAATCCCTCAATTATTGAATTGTAAAATATTTTCGTCGAATGGATCGATTTTTAAACGTAAGGGGAGATCTTTAACACGGAAAAATATTATCTTCTAGACATATGTAAACAATGCAAAATTCAAAAATTATATATCTTGAAGGGACGAGCTGACAGGGGTACATCTACTTGAACACCAATAATTATTACATGAAGTGTCTCAAAGAAATTTAAATTCATATTAGCTACCGAGGTTGCCCATAATTTAAAGTCACGAATTTTGTTTTACCAAATTATCGACAATCCTGAGCTAGAATTCGTCAATAGGATGTGGTGGAATGTCTCCATTCTTCTTTCATTTTCAGCGATTCAACATGGTGGGGACGCAAGTCACTGCTGGCGCGTGGGCTCCTACTCCTTTTACTGCTTGCTATTCTTCTTTGTATTGCCTTGGCAATCGCTCTTTATTTTCTGCCAGCGGTGTTCATGTTGAACGATATGGACAACAGCACCGGTAAATTAATTTTTGGTACTCACATGTAATATTTCCTTCGATACGTTATCCCGAAGGAAGCAAAAATAAAAATACCAAAAATTGAGTAGAGCAAAAATCTAAAAAAGATTTGTTCGGAAAGTGATTCATTCGATTGAATTAATCAAAAAAAAAATTTCAGATGATTTCTGCAGAACATCGACTTGTCTTCATGCTGGTAAGTTCATATAATATAAAATATCTGTTGACTATATGATATTTTTTGTGAAAATTCTTTCTAAAGAAACGAATTGTGCGACAAAAGTAGTCGTATTTTCCCGGAGCTTCCCCGAAAAAAAAGGGAAAATGCGCCAATTTGATTTCCTTTATTTCTCAGCCGCAGAGGTTTTGAAAAAAATGGACAGAGACGTCGAGCCCTGCGACGACTTCTACAGATTCGCGTGCGGTGGATTTTTGAAAAATACATCAATCCCAAATGATAGAGACCAAGTTGACACATTCTCCGTCATCCGCGATAAAGTCCAGGAGCAGTTGAGAATTAGTGTCGAGGAGCCAAGTCCTCCCACGGAACCAAAATCGTTCAAGCTTGCTAAGAATTTGTACAAATCTTGCATGAATACGAGTGAGTGGGGAAATACTGTCCAAATAAATCACATTAACAATACAGTTGAACTTTCTGAGGACACTTTCCGGAAGTGACACATAATTCAGTAGCGAAGTGGTAAAAGAAGATAAGTCAATTTTGACTGTTGACCAGTTTTCCATCAATATCTCGGCATCTAAGGGAGATAGCGAAATTTTCGTAATTACATTTATTATAGCACTCAATCGGCTCCACAAAAAAGGTGATAACAAAAATTTCGCCATCTGCCTTAGATTCCGAGATATTGATTGAAAACTGGTCAATAGTCAAAAATGACTCATCTCCTTTTACCACTTTGCCACTGAATTGATGATTTACAGCTGCAATTCGAGCTCAGAGTCTCAAGCAACTTCTCACTGACCTGACGGAACTTGGAGGATGGCCGGTGCTAGAGGGAGACCGGTGGGATGAAAGATCTTTCAACTGGATTGAGTCGACATACAACGTGCGCGACCGGGGATATCCTTTCGATTACTTTCTCCGTGTGACTGTCGAGCCGGATTGGAAGAACAATATCAAACGAGTCATCTATGTGGGGTTTTATTTATAATACCTAAACTGTGAATGTTCAAGGAAATCTGGAAATCAGTACCATTTATGTGGGGTTTTTGCACTTTTTAGTTGGACAAAGCTGCTCTGAAAGTCCCTCTGGAAGCCCTGTCATTCGACAAAACAAAATACATGGTGGATATTGCAGTAATGCTCGGAGCTAAACCAGAATCAGCCGAAGAAGAGATGCGCAGTCTCTTAGACTTCGAGGCTGAGATATACAGTGTAAGCGTCAATCTTCGCAATGCGTCACTATCAATTTTTATAGGGGAGGGTAGGGCAAAACGAGGGCCAGGCAGGCAAAACGGCCACTAACAGAAAATCAATAATTTTTACTTTGGCTTCCGAATGAAAGCAAAAACAAAAATCCAAATTCATTTGTGGTAGTGATGCTGTCGAGACTAGTCGAGAAGTATTTTGAAGAGATCATCACGGTCTGGAAAAACATCGAAAGTTTTGGAATCGTCGCAATCTCGAAAGACATTGGATCGGTGCATCTTGTCACAATTCCGGGACGATTTATCTTGCCTGGCTCTCGAGATTTTCGGTTTTTTAAGTTCACGAGACGAGACAGATATCGAGACAAATATTAGAAAAACAGAAAATACTGAAACGCAGACTGATGGATTCTCCCAAGTTCGTGACGAGATGCACCGATCCAATGTCTTTCGAGATTACGACGATAACTAAACTTTCGATTTTTTTTGACCGTGATGATCTTTCCAAAATAATTCTCGTCTAGTCTCGACGGCATCACTAATTTGTGATTTGAGGTGATTAGCAAATCTGATCAAATTGCGGTTCAACGACACTTCTTGTCTATAAAATCCCTGTGGCGGTTGCGATCCAAGAAACTCACTTTTAATTCAACACATTCAGTGTTCCTGATTTGAAGGAAAGAAAAAAAAAAATTATCAATTTTCTGTCAGTGGTCCGCTTTGCCCTACCCTCTTCTACCTTAAAAAAATTCCCTGGATTTTTCTCCTGAAACACACATCGCGTATTTAATTATCCAGTTGGTTCAATTGAACGAGGCAGATCGTTTCTCTGAATTCGCTTACGCCCCTCTGACGGTCTCCGACCTCCCCGACTTGTACCCCAGCATCCCCTGGAAGGAGTACTTCAACCGCGTGCTGCCACCCTCAGTCCGAGTGGGAAATTGTGACGTCATCATCAGACAGGCCGCCTCCTACATCAAAAGCCTGGAGGAATTGATGGGGAAAACACCAAAAAGGGTTCAGGCCAATTACGTAATGTGGAGGGTGGTAGAGTCATCGCTCAGTTACATGAATGATGAAATAAGAGAACGTGAGCCTCAGTGGAGGGGTGGAAAGACAGCGAGGGAGCCCCGATGGAAGGAATGCATGGACGTGCTCTCGCAGAAGCTCCCGCTGAGCGTGGCAGCCCTGTACGTCAGGAAATACTTCCACAAGGGAGTTAAGAAGAATGCCATTGAGGTGGTCGACGACGTCAGCAAACAGTTCCATCAGATTCTGGGGAGGAGCGAGTGGATGGATGACGAAACCAGGGGGAGGGCGCGGCAGAAAGCCACCTCCATAACCAGTCACATTGCTTATCATGATCAGTTATTTGATGATAGGAAATTTGAGGAGTACTATCAGAATCTAGAACTCAGCGATGAGCATTATCTACAGGGAATCCTGAATATTTCCCTGTTTGACTCGAAGAATTCGTTCAGCATGTTGGGAAAACCTATCGACAAGGGCGATTGGATCACATATGGAAATTCCGCGCGAGTGAATGTCAGCTATTGTCCGACTCTGAACAGTATTGGTGAGTAAGCAAGCTGAAGTTGATGAGATAACTGGATTATTTACTATATTTTTGTGGAAATTCGTCTCAAATTTTCCGAGGTCTTTTTGGTTTCTGAGGAAAACAAGGGGAAAATTGTAATAAATTGGCAATTTGCTTTCGAATGGAATTTCTACAGTGGTGAGATTGACTTCAACATTGCCTCAGCGTTAAGGTTTTTTACCTTTCCCTCTATATTGGTTTCAAAATAATTTTTTTCAATAGATGATGTAATCGATCTCATGATCGTACTCGGTCAAGAGGACGTTGGGAAGAATATATTAATCTCTCTCTCGTGAAAGTCGGATAGCTCACTATTTAGCCGGAGGAGTGGGGACGACCAATCGCGCGTCGCGGCGCTCCCCACTCCGCCGTGCTCTCACCTCACGATCGTCCAGTAACGTGTCATTGCTGGTTCCAGAGGTGCGCTCTTCCATTCATTCAATTTATTTGGCGTTGATTCCTGCTTTCCATTTACCGGGCCGGTGCAGACGGCACTGGTGAGTGGGTCGTCCGAACGCTCACAGCCGACTTTACGCTCCACCTAGTTGGATGGTTGCAAAGTGGGAGAAACGTCTTTGACGAAAGAGGGTTGATTGACATTAATTCTGACATTCGGGATTTTTAAGGGGGGATATACATGATTTTTGGAACTGACATAGAATAATCTTCAACTTTCTTTCGCAATTGATGTTCTTTAAAAAAAAATTGTAGAACTCCCGGCTGGCATTCTTCAGGATATCTTCATCAGTAATGATCTCCCAAGGTACCTGAGCTACGGTGCCATTGGGCGCATGGTTGGTCACGAAATCGCCCATGGATTCGATAATCAAGGACGATGGTTCGATAGAGTGGGAAACCGCGGTGATTGGTGGACACCCTCCACTGTGGAAAATTTCCTCGCTAAATCTCAATGTATTATCGATCAGTATGGAAACTACTCGGTCAAAGAATTGAACGTAAGGAAATATATCAGGGAAAATTAATTTCTGTTGATGTTCCCCATTGAGTCATTTCATTCTCCAATTATCTCGCCAATAAGCCTTTTCACATTTTTTGAGGAAACCAGAAATTCCTCAAAAATGAAAAAAAAAAAAATTGCAAGAAATAAAATTTTCCTTCTTTCCCCATTCGTAGCTGAATGGAGAGAATACTCAGGGAGAAAACATCGCAGACAACGGTGGTTTCATTGCTGCGTACCTAGCTTACGACGACTGGTCAGCGCGCAATGACGAAGAGAAAATGCTCCCAGGGCTCGCTTATACCCCAAGACAAATGTTCTGGATAAGTGCAGCCAGCACTTTGTGCACAGTCCAGCGACCTGAGAGACTCAGACTCCAAATCGCCGAGGGGGTGCAGACTCCTGCCGAATATCGTATCTTAGGAACACTATCCAACATTCCAGCCTTTGCTGAGGACTTCAAATGTCCCGTGGGCTCCAAAATGAATCCGGAGGAGAAATGTGCTGTCTGGTGATTTTTTAATTAATGTTATTGGAGTAATGAATGCATTTTCTCTTCGGTTTCATGGCGCTCATCAATCTAAAGTGTATTATTGATTTATTTATGCATTTTTGTACTCAAGGAGAAGTCTTCTTTAAATCACCTCCTTCTAGCTCCATAATTCCCCCAAATCTACGTGATTGATGATTTTTTTAAAATAAAAATTAATTTAATAAATTATTTAAATTAATAAAAAATGAAATAAATGGAGTTTCTTTATCCCTCTCTCTCTCTTAATAATGCGGAAAATTGCGCATGTGGTACCGTTTCCTAGGTTTTCTGTATTTTCAGTTTTGTTACAGTCGACTGTCGTTACAGTATCATTTCTCCACATATTTATTTTTTCGTACTAACTTCACTTTTCCTCGTCCGGGGATTGGCCCTGTCCCAAACTCGTGAAAGTGAAAATCACTGCGGGAAAATATCCTCGCCTTCGGCTCGAACGCCAACTCCACATGAGTATAAAAACCCCATGGCACTCGTCCTGAAATATACTACAGTCGTCATATATACGCCATCTACCTTCCTCCGCTCTGACAGAAACATTGACTGATCGCTGTTACAAACTCTAGGGCTCTATTTTTGAGCCGCTCTTTCATTTGAACCCAAAAGAACATTCATATCTTGTCTGACATCGCTGCTACAAACTCTGGTCTTCAACTCTGGTTTAAATTG